AATACCGGTAATAAGGAATTCTAGCACCTCCAATTTGATTGGAAGAAGCCGCTAGAACATATGCACAAAGCGTCTTTTTGCAGTTGTGGCATTTTATAAGTGCAAGTGCTATCTATATCAAACAGTTTAACGGTGTAAGTACTGTTACAATCTTGTAACTACCATTTGTTGTCATTGAATGCAGTAATTTGACATGATCTTGCAGCCACAATTCTTTTATGCAAAATGGACTTATTTTTCAGTGTGTAATGTATTGTCCATTCTACGCCATCATTACGTCTTTTATTAAAGTATGCGTATAGGCTATGTGTTGTCCATTCTACACCATCACCACGTCTTTTGTTAAAGTATACGTTTAGCCTATAGAATGTTCTCGCAACCAAGGATTGCATTGGCATAGTTCGTGCTTCTTTAAGTACGTCGTTAAAGCTCTCAGAGCAATTATTTCTCATCATGCAAAATCACACCTCACCATCTTTACATAATGCCCATTGATGCTCGAATTGCTGCTTTAAGTTATATTCAATCCAGTTATGTGCATCTACTGACAATGACTTGATTTTCTCCCTACAATGTTCATACATCAATGTGTTTGTTGCACACCCAGCTTACCACAAAAGATTTTATAAATTAAGCTCACTGTGTTTTGTTTTTGAAATTATCTCTGATGTGCTTTAAGCAATATTGATGGTGATGTGGTGCACAAAACCCTTATGCAATATACTTATAATTCTTTTCATCCTGTCTGAGATAAAAGTAATTGTTTTCAGCATTTGAACACGAATTAACCTGTATATAAGTTCAAAGAACTACTTTCAACTCGATATATCCTCTACCTCCATGACTGCAAATGCTAAAGGAAATAAACTGCCATTTGCGTTTACATCGGTGGCCACAAGCACGCCTTTATAATTGCTATATAAATGTGTGACATCGATGCTCAATAACAGACAACAAAAAGTAAAACCCTTGATAGCAGGATCAAATGCACAAAATATTCGAGTGAACCTCTCCACCCTAGGTGTGATCTCTTCAGACATTATTTAACCTATCCACACTAAGTGCGATCTCTTCAGATATTATTTCATATTCAATACCCTGATTATTTTGCTTGATTGCTTCAAGGTATTGTGGAAGTAATTCATAAGATTTATTCCAATCTCCAAATATTTTAGACAATACTTTTCTCCTTGCATCATATTATGCCTTATATTTAGATATCTTAATGCCCCGCGTGTCATATGCTCTTTGAAATATCAGACCTATTTTAGATCAAGTTCTGGCCCACTTCAGGCATAATTATCTTAAATATATAAGAAGATGTCGCTTTATGATCAACATCCATCAACGGATTACAACATGTATGAAGCCTGCAGTATCTAGAGTTACAAATTGCCCATTTGATGATTTTCTCACAGCTGCATTTAGCTTTCAAGGACATTTCACGTTTCTCTCATCCTACTCACTTGCATGCTGTACTGGAATCTTCTCGTTAAAGTAACACTTGGTAGTTTGTTGTATCAGATTTTATCGGCTTGAATTTGACCTGATTCTTGATGGATCGTTCTCAGATTGCATAAATCAACAGCTCCTTGTTCTCGAATAGATCTCTTTTTTAAAAGTGAAGTACTCAGACCGTTGAAAATTTAAGCCAATATTAACAAATTTAGCTTGGGAGGTATTTATCCAATCCTTAATTTGGAACTCATCACGCAACAGGTCTTTAGATAACATAAATATTTTTCTAGAACCTTCCTCATACATAGACATACTTTTCCAATGCCGAGACTTCCATTGAAGAAGTAAATAACGGGTATTGAGTTCGCCATCGAAACTGAAAGATCAACATTACATCATAATAATCTATAGTTGAAATCAAATTCTCGATTGAAAATCAAATTTAAAACCCCAAATTCTAGTTAAACCCTAATTTTAGCCAAACCACATTATTCATCATATTTCACAAAAGAAAACCTAAAACTTTCACCACAAATTTTATATCCCAATTAAACCTAAACCCTAATCAATCCATATCATTCATCAAGATTCTCACAAAAAAATACAAATTGCACTACAAATTTCATAGAACGCATTAAAATTAAACCCTAAATCAAAATCTATATCATTCATATCAAAATCAAACCCTAACCTAATCCATCCATATCATTCATCAAATTCACAACTAGAAAAACAAATTGCACCGCAAGTTTCATTTCCCATTTTAAATTAAACATTAAAACAAATTGCACCACAAATTTCATATCCTAATTAAAATAAAACCCTAAATCAAAATTATAGTTGAATACTATTCCTAATCAATTCATATCATTCATCAAAATCCACAAGAGAGAAAATTTTCACATTGATCAAGGATTGACATGGCCTAATTGGTGAAGGGAGGCGTCTAACTTTGGTGAAGTCACAGAGGTAGAGACGAGCATGGTGGAGTCAAAGTTGGAAGTGAGAGTTGGATGCGAGACACGAGCGTGGTGGAGTCAGAGGTGGAGGTGAGATGTTGAGGTGAGCTTGGTGGACTCAGAGGTGGCCTTGGAGCTTGGTGGATGCGAGCGGTTGAGGCGAGCTTCGTTGGTTTGAGGGCGTGAGAATTGGGAGTAGAGAGGTTAGGGCACGAGAAGTGGGTTAGAGCGTGGAAACAGAGTTAAAGACATGGGCGGGTGTTTTATTGGGGGTGGGGGGGATATACGAGACTGCTAGTCTCATCTAATTCGTTCGCTAGTTTAGCGCTTCGTAATTGCATGGGACTAGTAGTCCCGTGTAATTTCAAACATCAATTTTGCAAAATCGAGCTCTTTTTGGCAAGCAGTGATGAGCTGGCAAAAGGAGGTCGATTTTGCTTATATTGTTTCAAAAAAGGTCTATTTTAAATTTTTTTAAACAATCCTATTTTCATTGTCTGCAAAACCGTTTATTTTATAATCACTTAATGCATAAGTAAGAATAACTCAATATGCCTTTTTTTGTTTATTTACCATCCAAAACATATTAGATCGAAATGAACGGAGTGGATCAGTTGAATTGATTGCATATAACGTAGTTTTTTAAAGGTGTGTCCTTAGATTGAATCTAAAATGCCTCACTGGAAACATATTTCCACACACATATAGAAATAGAAATGTATAACCTTTGTACTAAGGAAAAAGTTGGTCCTTGATAGTGAGGTGCCCAAAGCTTAACCACTTATATTAATGGTCCCACTTGAAGATGTCCTCTCCAACCCATGTGCAACAGGTCTCCTTTGAATGTATGGATAAGAATGAGTCACCTCACTACTAAGGATCATTTATGGTTCTTCGTGCGCGCATACATAAGGGTAAATCAAAGCAGCTCAACTGGTTCAAAGAACTTGTCCTTTCGGCCTATTTTGACGATAGATTTATTCTAGAAAACTTTCACCCAATTTTGATTATGTTATGAAAGAAGCATGGCTCATGATGGGGTGTGTGTATGTATGTATGTATACACACACATATGAGAGAGAGAGAGAGTAAAGCTCTTGTAAACGTAAGTTGATAGAAGCCATTTGTCCACCAATTTTTTTATCACTTAATTTTTCATTGAGATTTGTGTTAGCATGTGATACACATCAAGGCACAAATCTTAAAGATAGTCTTGATGTGTAGGACAAATCTCAAAGCATAATGAACATATAAAACAGTTGATGGACAAGTGCTTCTATCCACTTAAGTTTATTCTAACTTTACCATGTATGTATGTATTGCACGCATGCTTTGTGTGTTTGTATGTCTGTATGTGTGTGCGCATCTGTATGCATATGTATATGTATATTTGTATGTGTGTGTCCCCATATCCTGCCTTCTACAAATTTTTTGTGCCCGTGCCTGCACCCATATCTGTGTAACCTAGGTTTGGAGAGATGGAGAAGAGGAGAAGAAAAGGGGGTGGTTAGGAATGGGGGTTGGCCGATGCGATTCTCATGTGATTGGTCAAAAAAAGGCAAGTTAGCAATTGATATACGTGTTGCTTGGAGAATTCCAGTTGTTCCGTAGGTAAACTATTGGCCGCATGTTTCCATGTTTCACTTCGAGAGAGGGATATTAGTCTCTAATGCCTCAACATCTATCTTTGTATAAATTTTAAGGAGTATCTAGGAGGATAATAGCTTCACTTGAAGTTGCAAGATGGGCGACGAAAAATTTAAATGTGAATCAACATTATACAAATGATATGCATTCCCTAAAATAGAACAAAATTAAAAAAACTAGTTGCATTCTAGATGTTCTTCCCATGCTTCATATGGCAGTAAATGAACATTTACAAAAAACCATTAAATATTTAATTTATTGTAATTTGATGCATTGATAAAGCATGTGGAAGCAGCTAGTTTTTTAACTTTTGTGAAAGTAGCTAGTTTTTTAACTTTTGTAGATATTTTAAGTGACGTAATGTTAACGTTCTAAATTCTGAAGCCTGCCGTTGGAGAACAGCCAAGTAAACAACTGAGTTATGTGCTGCTTCACAGCTACCAAAATAGATTACCAGACAAATTTAAAAAAAAAGTATGATAGCATAAGAGTCCTTTTCATTACTTATGATGAGATTAAGGTTCTTCTGACTTCGTATTGAGAATCATGGAAATGCGACTCAATTCCATGATAACATTGGAAATTCAATTAATTAGGTATCTCTGTTATTTGTACTCTACCTAATTTTAACTCATATATATGAACATTTTGATAACATTGTGGGTATGACTCAATCCTCACATCATTATTTTACTCCGTCACCTATGTAGATATATCAAAAATTAGATGACTACTCTTTTTCTCCTATTCCATACCATGTTTGGCGGTTTTTGTTAAAAAATGGTGAAACTCATAGTTGATGGAATAAGTTATGCTTTATTTTTGACGGAGTGAAATGAAATGTATGTTGGTATATCATTATTTTTGTTGCACTGTGTCAACCCCTGTTGTGCTTTACAAATATGAGTGAGAATTTTTTTTTTTTATCCAGCTCAGGTTTGCAAGTAAAACAGCAAAAGACAAATTGTCCGGTTTGTCGAAAGGAGTTTGATGCAAAGGATATGGAACATATTATCGGTTATCTGGGCACGAGTTCATCTCAGTCGGTATGTTCACTGCATTCATTCTGTGAAAACAAGAGAAAACTTATATTTGGAGTATAAATTTCTCTGCTAGCATGAGATTTGTATTCTTTACTCTGTTATTTTGCATTAAAATATTCCATGCCTAACTTAACCATAAAAAGAAAATGATTGCATGACAATTTACCATTATTGTGGGAAGAAAAATTAATTTTCTGTTATCTCTCTGACCGGAGCAGAATACTTCTACGTCTACTGTGCTTTATTCTTGATTTCTACACCTTCTTTTGTTTTGTTCTTGTTATAGGCTTCGGAAAGGCTCTTACTTCTTACTATTACATTGTGTGTTAGATTTGGTGGAGAGAAGTTGGTGAAACAATTCAAAATATCATGTGGGCATAAGCTAAAGTACAGACATATGGTCACCATCAGATTATGTTACCTACTAATGAAGTAACAACTTCTAGTAGCACAAATACATAAGGTACCTACCATGATAACTAAATGCTCTCTTAATCCCAAAGCGGGTACTAAAGGCTGTATAAGATTAATGAACTAGCAAGCTAAGAAACAAACAGAAGATTTGTAGTATATGGGTCGGGTGACGTAACTGGTGCTCAAATCTAATAATATTTGTAACAATAAGAAGATTTGTAGCAGATGGGTCGATGAGGTAACCAGATTAGTAGCAGATCAGTCTATATAAATAGAGTATTGTCATCAACAAAGTGAAGTTCTGGAGAAAACTTTGTGCTGCTTAAAACATCTCTCTCAAATACATGCACGAGCACCCGCGGTTTGGTATCTGTTTTGGAGTGTCATGTTCGCTGGTCCAAATCAATTGAAGTGGCTAATTAACTACTATTTGACTGAACTGTACTACTTTCAAAGTCTGGGAAGCCTCAGTGGATCAAACCGTTCTGGTTGGGTTTAGATTACTTTTAGTTTTGTTAAAATGAGATGTTCATTTAATTTGTAGTTCTGGGAGCGTTTACATGTGGGTGATTGAGTTCATTTGTTTCATTTACATCAGTTTTATCTTTATTGGACAATGTTATTTTAGATATATTTTGGATTTTTTTGATGGAGTTTTTACTTAGTTATTGTTTATGTTTTTAAAAACAAAAAAAAGGTAAAGCTAGGGCCTTAGGAAAGAGCAATAGAGATATTGGTAAATTTCTTTTTTTGGCTATTAATTCTTCAGGGAAAAGCATTTAATTCTTCATCAGTTTGCTTCTTTTCTTCTTTCCTTTATTATTCATTTCCGGTTGTTCAGATGTGAAATTATCTAATTCTTTTTAACTTTTTCTCCATCATCGACTCCATTCATTTTCGTAGCAGGGCTTCTTAGAAAATCACTGTATCCTGAATTGAACATAATTCCGAGATATTCATATCTGAAATCATCTATAATTTCAAAGCAGAATTTGAATTCAAACTTTGCTTGTCGGGCTCTTAATTAAAGAGTTTGTATTCAATTATTTTTGTCCAAACCAAATTGAATATTCTGGTAACCTATTTGTTCTGTTTGGTTTAAATGTTTAAACAGTTTGTTCATTTTATTTGAATTATATTGGGGAATTCTGCATCAAGATGTTGGACAAACTTGCAATTCAAATATTCAATTAAGAATTCGATTGAAGAGTCATTTATTTCACCAGTTCTTTTATATTTCCTCAATGTTTTTTAAAACTTTTTATGCATATTAAAGATCATACTATTTATATTCGTATAAAGTGCAGAGGTCAGAATGTTTTGTACTCAGCGAATATCCATAAGTAAAATGATTGAACATGTGATTTATTGTATATGATTCACTTACTAACTGGATAGTGAAATCTATTTAATTATGCTTAATTGACCATCCAAATTAAATCTGGCAAGTAGTTGTAGGAGAATTATCTGAATTAATTTATAGTTATTCCTTCCACTTCCACAAACAGTGTGACACCATCACTTTAGTTCCACATGGACTAGTGTGAAGAAATGTTAGTGATTTAAATAGAGAAGCCCAATGCCCAAGAACAACTAATGCTAGCATTTTGACGGTGGATTTAGCCAACCCACGAGTTACTCTCCGTGGACCCATAGCTTGCACGCGCCAACGGGCCCGTAGGCCTGGGGCTATGTGAGACTAAAGTGGGAGTGTCACAATCATCCCACCTTACAAAGACGACGTGCTCGTCATCACGACATGACAATTGGCACATCCCAGTATCACTACCAGGCGATGTGGACTCTAGAGGTGGTTCCTACGGGTTCTAGAGGTGGCTCCCACCGCATCCACATGGTGTAGCACTTAACCCCGTATAGCACTTAGCTCCACACTTCCGGCTGACAACTGCTCTGATACCATTTGTCACGCCCAAGCCCAAGAACAAGTAGTGCTAGCATTTTGGCGATGGATTTAGCCCAACCCACGAGTTGCTCTCCGTAGACCCATGGCTTGCACGGGCCTGTGGGCCTGGGGCGTGACAAACAGTGTGTTATTAGTATATGTCAAACATTATCTTAAATCTTCCCCTTGATATCGGGCCATGCAGAAAGGTCTTCAAACAAGATGTTATTGGAAAGGAAAATTAGAATAGAGTTTTAAAAACACATTTCAAATCATTAAACCATCGACATGACATTTTAAAACCCGCTATTCGGGTCAAACAATCGCTTCATCCAAAAGCCTAGCCTAGTGGGTTGTTGCCAATATTTATGCATGAATGAACATATCAAGAGCTTACTCAATAGGGTAGCTCAAATAATACTCAAAATAGTGTAGGTGTCAGCAGAAGATTGACACATGGAAAATAAGTGATTACTCAAATGTCAACAATAGGACGAGTCACTTTACATAAAACACAGATAAAGATCATTGGGTTCTTTGGCAAATTAAGGGTTCAGCTAGATGGAAAATCAAGTCACATTAGCTTCAACTAGATTAAGACAAGAAATTGACAAAAGTTTAAAACATTTAGTTACAGATATCAGGCAGCGGAGTAGCTATTTTCTCTTGGATAGCCAGAAAGGAGTGTGCACTGTTGGGCTGTTGGCTTATTGGCTAGCGTATATCACCTTTAAAGGCTATGTTTGAATATGCTATATTTGGATATGGATTTGTGTCGAAATTGTGTTCTTATTCATTTAATATTGATTATTGAGAACTGTTTGAGAGGTTACTTCACTGAGATAACCAAATTTAGTTTTTGAGCCTGATAGAGTTTGGAGCTTTTGTTGGTCATCGCATCTATTCTTATTGAGATACCATTCTTTTTTAGAGTGTTACTGCAGTGGTTAGCTTATTGGCCGAGAATCTCGGTGTCATATAATAATGTTATTGTATACGCTTATTAGCAACGATTTTTATCTGACAGTTTGCCAGAGGTGCAAGGCCTTGTAATATAAAATTGAGGCAAAAGTTTGTTGAAGGCTAGATCTCCCTTCAGGACATCAGATATGGTGGAAAATCCTAGGTGGAGGTGGTTGAGTACTTACCGTAGATTGTAAAAGGGCTAAAAGCTTGGATATAATGGTGTTGCACGCTGGCGTTTTGTTTAATCTATAAATCTATTTCATAAGATATCATCTCATATAAAGACCGGACTAAGTTTAAGCAGGAAGCTGATTACCAAATTTAACCCTCCTTTGTCCTGCGTTGAACTGTCAATCAGGAGCAAAATATTAGGCACAAACCTCCAGCATGAAGGTAAGTTAAGAGTGTATTTCGTAGTTTACACAAAACTTAGCTTGATATCCCTATGATATGAAGCCGTTTGTTCTGTTGCTTATTATTTTATCTGTGGATCTGTTTCATAGATCTGTTTCATAGGATATCATCTTATGTCTATGCAGCTAAGTCTTTTGCAAGATGTGAGCTACTAAATTCAAACTTCCTCTGTCCTGCCTCGGGACTATCTGTGAATGAAACATAGACACAGCACATACAAAATTGTTTTATGTTGATTGACTGTGTAAATTTTGCTGATATCTATCAATTTTTTGTTGGATTATCTTATACCCTAATCATTCGAATTTAGTTGTAAGATTTACTGTGGGGGCACCAGAAATTCTACCATTAACCAAAATAATTTCACATGCCATGTCGTTTAGTTTATAATAGCCATATAATGCAATGCTGACCACCCTATTTTCTGTCACCAGAGTTGTGCAAGCTTGGACATAGATGAAGATGAAAAATCTTATCTCCAGTCTGAGTCAGAGAATAACAGAAGGGAGAAATTTGAGGCCCTGTTAAAGCTACAACAAGAAAATAACGGTCTCATTGAACCGAGGAAGAATCTTGCGATACTGCCCGGAATGTTCCTCCCTGAAAATGTGACAAAACCTAGCACATCAAAAGAAACCGAGAATGAACAATGTGTAGATGATGCTTCTGGTGCAAAAATTGAAGTGAAATCTGGACACTCTTTGAACAAAGCTTCAACAAGCAGGCATAGCCACAGAGATTCGAGAAGAAAGAACAAGTATCAGAGTTCAAAAAAGCCACCTCATGCACCACCTAATAGACAACAATGGGTTAAGAGAGAACTATAAAGGTATTAGTCATCAAAGTTGCTCTTGCTTTTGAGAAGAAAAACTATTTATCTTTATGGATATTGTGTGAAGGAAAGAAGCCTTACAGTTGTGTTGCACAAATTGTTAACTTGGAACTGTATGGTACGGGCAGGAGTATATTCTACTTTTATTTCCTTTTTCGTGTACTCAAATGTGTTTGCTTCTCGGGTAAGTGTTGATTCCTATCATGTTACTTCTTCACGTGTCAATGCTTTATTTGTTCTGAATTTAATTTAGTTTTCAATTGCTCTTGGCTGGGGGATTAAACAAAGTGATCTCCTTTTCGCTTCGCCCTTTATTTCGTTGGGGAGCTATATTACCATGTACGGATGGAACATGCGCGCAGCGATGCTTGCTTGTAAAACTTTTTCTGTTGGGGAGCATGAGTGCTTACTTTATGGATGGGTTGAAGTTAACAAAACCGCCCAACTTTGCGGGGTTTTGCACGTACGCCCCTGGGGTATCTTTATTACACTAAACACCCCCAAACTATATACGGTGTCTCATACTATCCCTTGAACTTTAAGCTTTTCCGCATGGACGGTGTTAGCGGCTGCTGTAAACTGACAAGCCACCCATTTAAAAATAGCCAATATTAGCACCGTCAAGGTTTGTTGGGGGTTAAAAAAAGTTTAGCGGGGTATGGAGAGACAAATTTGGGAGTGTTTAGTGAAATAAAAATAGTTCAGGGGATTATATTCCAAACCCTTAAAGTTAGGGTGATTTTGTGAAATTAACCCTTTTTGGATCTTCTACGTTGAGCACACTTCATGATTCAAAGTCAGGCTTATAAACGATCCGTTGAGCTTTTCCATGATATTTCGAAGTAATCATGATCATGGGCTGAAAGCACCTCTTCTGAATTTTAACTAGGACGCAACTGAATTACTATTTTCTCCCAAGTCGGTATTTTCTCACTCGGTGTAGACTCCAGCTGTACATATGTTTGTCACGTCTCATATTTAAAACGTCAAAATGTTGGTTGGCTTGGTGACCCGGAGTCGGCTCGTTTTGTGGATTTTCAGGCTTAAACTTGTTCAAACTTCGCTAATTACTACCACTAGCAGTTTTCATGGTGGGTCAAATTTAGGTGAGCTAACCAATCTCCAAGATTTTTCTTGATTGGGATAACCTAGGATCGTCCACTATATTTGAACATCTAACATACTACTCGGCATCATAATTTCTAAACCCCAAAATTTTGTCCGCTTATTCCTAGAATAATTACAAGTAGTTTCAAGATAACTATCATTACTTTGGACCTTTTATTCCTTTAGAAAGTACCTAAAAATTAGGATAATTATACAAAAACTGACTTTCAGCGTGAATTTATACATAATCCACTTTTAAAGTGAGCTTGTGTTTGCAATCAACCACCTTCCGGTCAACTTTTTTTCCTCTAAAAACTCAAAAATACCCTTAAAAACTCACATTTAAAGACAAGCGACTCATTTTGTTAATGCTTATGTCTAGTTAGGATACAAGTCATATATATTGGATGTGAAAATTTTAAGTTTATTGTTGGTTTTTTAGTGAAAAATTAACTAGGAGGTGGTTGATTACAACACAAACCCATTTTAAAGATGGTTTATGTATAAATTGACATTGAAAGGTGGTTTCTATATAATTATCCTATTTTGAAGGCGGTTTCTGGAGGGGAAAACCGTATACTTTCGTAAATCATACAAATGTTCGCTCTTTGTGGAAAATAAATCATAATCATGCACTCAATGATAATTGATTATTAATTACAGCAGCAGACTTTTCACAATGTATCTGCAACAATTTTTTCTTCCTTGCTAGAATCCTTTGTCTAATTCAGTCAAACGGAGTAAGAATGAGATGACTCCCTATTATGAAAAGTTTGAAATAGTTCAAAATCATATAATAAAAAAAGTAATAATGCCTCTCTTATGTGTGGAACATTTGTGGGATCATAGACTTGACTCATAACCATTCTGCACCAACATTGGACAAAATGAAACGGCTAGTCATTCCAGCCACAAGAGATCTTAGACCAATATCTATATTATTTTTTTCCATATATTCCAAGAATGTGACATTTGATTTGCTAATGAATATCAACAAGATCCATATAGTGGATAATTACATCTCCACTTGCAAAAGGCATTCAAGAATATGATGTTATTCTCCTAATGGTTGGCTTCCCTACATGATCATGAAAGACCATGACCATTGAATAATTCTTAATTATTTTTATTTTCTGATAATATTTTTTATTCGCTGTGAGAGAGCAACTCATTTGTTATTGGATATTGCCGGCAAAATGATTGATGACGAACGAGTGGTCATGGCGAATGACAAATCTATATATGTAGCAATGAAGATCCAATGGATGGCAAAATAGAATGGTATACTTTTGGCTATGCTTTCTCTTCCTATTGAAACGCTTTTCTATTTCTATTGAAACGCAAAACTCATCATATTATCTTTGATATATAGTTCAGAAAGCCATAAAGGCCATGCTCAGTAGTCTAGTGGAAGTCACATCATGAGAAATCTGATTCATAACGTGACTAAGCCATTGTTGAAGAAGAAAAATTGCTAACGGAAATAGTGATTAAAAAAAATAAAAGTTGCAACAAAATGATGATAGTTATCTTAGCAAAGAGGTTTTTTTTTATTACTTTTATACAAAGATACCCAATTCTAAACATCTTTATTAAATATCGCATAATTTTTCGGACACGTGAACATTTTTTCTTCACGCTAAAAGGTAAGCCGTCATTGTGAAATATCAAGAAGAGTGTTTTTCTAATGGGTGTTCATGAGCACTTATTAGAGGATAAGAGAGAGAGAGAGGGGGGAAAATATTAAGTCCACCCGGATCAATGATATTAAATATGCACCAAATGAATATCAGATCATTAGATAAACCATTTCCATTGGATATTCTATAAATAGAGAAAAACGATAAATAAAAAAATTAGTGCAAATCGCAAAGGACCATTTCTCTCTCCTCTCATCTCCAAATGTCCTTAGAAAAACATTAAAGAATAAAATAAAAATAAGCAAAGGATGTTTTTAGGTAGGTTTGGGTCAGTTGATTTTCTAATGAATACCAACAATCATAACATGCTTTCATTATTATTATTATTATTATTTGTTTATGTGGTTGAATGACGTTAACTTAATTTAAATCTCACGTCTTCCTGTTCTTAACGCAAGTTAGCTAACACAACCCCATGAATTCTCTATATCAAAGGAGTCACCCACTTGAAAGCTAAATTCCAAACAATTTTAACATGGCACGTCTCTTTAATTAGCGTCTGGCATTATAACCAAGTCTTACGTTTCCTGTAATTAAAAAAGCGTACTTAATTCATTTATGATGATTGACACAAATGACTTGTATCTTATCAGTCTCATGATAAATTAGGGAGTGTTAGAATGAGTTATATACTATAGTAATGCGTGGAAATTAACAAGGTCTTCTTTTAGATGGAGAATGTAATACTTGAGCCCTACAATATTTGCTAGCAGCATCAGATATGACTCCATTAATTTATGCGATGAATTTGCAATTAAAGTGCTCGCTACGGGCGTAACACTTGCAGATGGATTTGGGTCTTTTCCGCTGCGAACTGGTTAGCACAATGTTTGCTTCCTTATCGTAACCCTCCAATTATACATAACATTGTTAATGATTCATTATAATTACTAATCTAACATTATGGCTTACATGGGTTGAACACAGTCCCACTCTCATTCAAGGCAAATCTTCCTTGCTCTTCATCAAATGATGTGTGATTAATAATTAATTAAAGAAGAACTGCTATATCTATAGCCATATAAGTAGGTAGCACATTATTATGTCAAGAGATTTAAGAGATTAGAGAGAGAATAAGGCACCCTTATAGCGTTTAGTAAGATATTTTTCTTTTCTCCCATAACCAATGAGGGAAGGAACTTTTCTTGCTGGACGATAGCTGAAGTCACAAATTTGATATTTCTAATTGAATTTAGAAGATATTTCTTTTCTTAAACTCAAGATATGAAGGCAAATTATTGGGATGTTGATAATAGTGTATTGTAGTGGGTTTTAGTCCCACATTAGTTGTGAGAACACACATCAACCTCCTCTACTTGTATAAATATATGTGTACACTCAATATTCAACCAAAATGGAAATTTACCCAATATTCTCTCTCTCTTACTTTAACATGATTGTAGGCTGTCTAAAAATCACAATAGATAGTTGATCCCCCATCAAACACCGATGATGGAAGTTACAATCTGACGACTTCCAGAAGGCTACAATTTGAGGACTTTCACGTAGATGTTACAATCTGACGACCTTCACAACAACTAATGAAAGCCCCAATTCAACAGCCTTCACAATCAACATCGGGAGTTACAATCTGACGACTCTCATATTTTCAAGGAGCCAAGACGAAGATTACAAGAGGACGATCTGTGCAAAGCTCTAGCAAAAGAAACTACAAATTGACGGTCTCTTCATATTAGAATGCAGATATCTCTCAAACCGTAAGGAATTTGGCGAAACAGAGGAAGCGAACCGAAGCCTTTGGCTCGGTTCGGATGACCCCGTCTCGTTGAGATAGCCGATTTTCATATATAATTCGTCCAATTCCGACTTACGGTTTGAAAGTTATGACCTGTTCTTCGCAGCAAGTTATGTTCTGAAGTCCGTCTGCAAGACTGGACTTCGTCAGAACATCGGACTTAGCCTGAAGCTCGCCGAGCCCACCTAAGGCTCACCTCTGCATCTAAGATTCAAAACGCAGAGGTCGTTCCCGCGTTCTAAACTCAAAACGCAGAGGTCGTGGCTGCGTTCCAGATTCAAAACGCAGAGGTCGTAGCTGCGTTCCAAACTCGAAACGCAGAGTTCATGCAGAACCCAATTCTGCGTTCCAGGTCCAAAACGCAGAGTTCATGCAGAACTCAACTCTGCGTTCCAGGTCCAAAACGCAGAGTTCACCTCTGCGTCTCAGATGCCAAAACACAGAGTTCACCTCTGCGTCTCAGATGCCAAAACGCAGAGTTCATCTCTGCGTCTCAGATGTCAAAACACAGAATTCATCTCTGCGTCCCAACTGTGCGTCTCTAATTTACAGAACGCGTGCGGCCTGTGCGTTTCCAATCTCTAGCAGAGATTTAACTCTGCGTCTCATCTCTAAGACGCAGAGTTAAGGTCCAGAACGCCAATTTAGGCGTTTGACTTGTTTAAACACAAGTTGAACGGCCTCAAAACCGTT